ATTTTTTAGCTGCCATGCGGAGTCTAATGCTGTCTAGGACAACAATACTTATTGCAATGCCACTCAAAGTTGTTAATTTAAAATGTATTAACCGAGTTGTCAGTAGGCTACTCGATTCAAAACCGACCGATGCCGGATGTTGTCCCGACGGCCGACTGTTACAACTATAATGACATAAAAACCCGATACTACACCGCGATAAAAAAAAATATATATATATGTACCTAAATTATTCACTAAAGAAATTTTGGAAGAAAATAAAATAATGCATACTAGGATCACAATATTAAAAAGGTTTTAACCTTAATGCAAAAAAAAAACCAATTATAATTAATAAAAGTAATTATAATCGCCTTAAAACTACAAAATGTATTTTTCAAAACAAAATTCTAAAGTATTAACAAAAAGTAATAATTGTTTGGAAAAAATTGTAAATTAAAAACTATAACTAGATTAAAATTCAAATATAAGCGGATATTATAATCCTAAATTGATAAATTATCCGGATTTTCTGACTTAATTATATATTTTTATAAAACAATTGATTATTTTATTTAGATAATAATATATTGAAATCTCAAAATCAGGATCGTTGTTAAACCGAATTTAATAAATTCACATTCCTGAAATTTGATGAAAACTATAAAAAATAATGCAGTACAGTGTGGTTAGGACATAGTGGGACGGAGCATATCACAGATCTACAAAAAATATTACAACTAAACGCTTCGGTGTGAATCTGTATACACTATACATAGCGGATAAAAACATTGCAAAGACAAAAATGTTTTATAAAATTGTATTTTTCTATTAGGTTAGGTATATAATGTTATAACAATATAACGATTTATTTTCCATATTATACTTATTGACTTTTATGTCACTATAACATAGCAATAGCCAACAACCTAGACATTTACTACAGTAAAAGTGTTATTCTTCTTTTTATTTGTTTCTCCTTTATAAAAATAAAGTTTGAATACAGATTTTTGAGATAGTTTGTTAAAGCTCCGCTCTAGATCTACCAACACCCAACAGTCAAATTTATATTGTAAAAACTATACCTCTTCAGCTCTGATTGACGTTAAATAAGAAGTTAAAAAAAATAGCTAATTTTACGTTTAAAATAACGGACATGTGTCGTTCTCTTAGATTAATTAAATCCTTACAATGGCTTACAAAATGACTCTCCTGCGACAAAAACTGAAAAATTGTGAATTTTAATAAAAATATGTTGTTTTATTAAAAAAAATGTGTACTATGTTGTTAATAAAAGTCCGTTATACCAGATGTGTGGAATTTAAGTAGCCCATTTCCTAAAAAAAGGCAAATTTATTATTATACAACAGATTTTTCAGATTATTAAAGACAAAAATTAAAAGTAGGACTATATTTTATAATATATATGTATACCTAGGTACTCCACTCGCACATTTTAGATTTCTTACTGCACAAATAGTGTTCTTCTGCATTTTAAAATAAAATCTAAAAATTTAATGCAGGTATTTTGCAAACAACATTATTTTGTTGATTGATATATGTTAATACAAAATTTTACAACATTTAGTCTATACTACTCGTATTATTAAATAATATTAGTTATAAAACGGGTGCAAAACAAAACAAAACTTGTGACAACTAAAATAAGTGTTCTATTATAGGTATTGCTATATGCTATAGCTAACGGCTCGGCTGTTATTAGAAAAGTGTTGACAACAACAAAAGCGATAATGCTCGGTCCCCGAAATAGGAACAAGTTATTTTCGTTTGTTCGGGTGACTGGATTTATTCTTATTGTTTGATAATTATGGACTGTTTAGAAGAAAATAGGGAATTTAAGTGTAAATGAATGTAATAGTAATAGTAAAAATAAATAATTCATTATTGTTTGTATTGAATTTAATTAAAAGTTACATAGTGTCCGAGTTTTTAATATTTAGTCATTTTGAAGTTAATGAATACAAATTTAGATTAATACTTTGGTACAATTTTTGCAGTAGGTATTATTATCTTTCCTTCGAACAAATGGAACGATTTTCAATGGTAGGTATATGTTTATTTTGATGATAATAATGTGAAAACGTCCGATGTTTATAATTCATGTATATTATTCATAGATAAGTAAAATATTTAAAAATAAAAAACTTGGTTATAATATTTCACTTTTAATTTTGTATTTTTAGTGTTGTAAAATTTGGTAATTTAGATAAAAATAACCGTTTTTGATGATCCATATTTAATGTTACGAGTTATCAGGACCGCGTCTTCATATCGACGTTATTGATGGAAAGCAGGTATGTAATTATACTACTCCCGTGGTCTATCGATAAATAGATGTATTAAAAACCATTTTTAAGACATTTACACAATCAGTACTGGTTAAGCGTAAGCCGTAACAAAAAGGAAATAATATGAAAATAAATGTTTAAACCAAACAATATAGTTATTTTTCAAGTCTTAAAATAAATATTGACTTTTAATAATGTGCAATCATGTAGGTATATTGTAAATCGTATACAGCAACTATTGATGATACATTGAATTTATAGACCGCGATTTATCTTAAACTCTGTGTACCTAAATCGTTTTAAAATATATTTTGAAGTGTATATTTTTATTATTAGAAGTTTGTTAACGGATGTTTCCGAAGAGTTATGGAAATCATAAAGCATCTGCGAGCTGTGAATAATATTTGGTGTTTTCCTTGGAATCTCATGAAATCGGATCCAAAAACACGAGACTATACGCGAACGTACACGCAGTATAATTTTCTACCGTATTTATTATTATTATTATAATGTATTAGGATTGTTTTTTTTTTGTTTTCGGTTATTGTAGAATCACCGCCGTCGTCGCAATCGCGGGATCCTTTTTAGTAGCCGCCCGGGGGAAAACCGGTCGGCCACCGTGAGGCGTCGACAACGGATGCGGCCGGCACCGACCTGCGTTTCGTCGTGGTGCGGCGGTGGCACGAGGGGTGGGAGGCCGAGGTCAGGGGAACGAGATATTATGGACGAGCGCACCAGGGCAGCGGCTGCCGGCGCGGTGTGCGTTCGTGCGTGGTGGCGCGCCCGGTGGCCAACCAGAACGCTAACGGGCGGGGCTTGGGCCGGCTACCGTTCATTTCCCACGGGCGCCCATTGGGTACCCGGCCCCGCCCCGCCCCCGGTACGACCTGGCACCCGCCGCCGACGATCGGGTAGCGCACCCGGACCGCGCACGTCGACCCAGACTACTACAGCTGCCGTCGTATGCGTGCCCGGTTGTTGCCGTCACTTACACACATGACCGTCATATAGACCGCTTCTGACTTTCGTCTGCTACAGTCCAGTGAGTTCCGCAATAATCACCACTTACCGTCTTAGGCCTACGCACTGCACACCGTCGTCTTCTTTCTACGTGTATGCTCTACACACACACACACTTTTACAAGCGTGCGTGTACGTACTGACACAGGACACTCGAATTGCAACGACATATCTTTCAATAATCCGTAAGTACAAAAAAAACTATTTATTTCTTGAGTATTTTTTTAAAATTAAAATTTAATTAAGCAAAATTTGTATTTAATACTTAAAATAGTTTTTTTATTTAAACGCATATCGAGTGTACTTATTACAATACGTTATAATATAACGTTTTTTTCGACGTTTTTCTTATTAATTTTTTACTACTTTGATTTTTTTTTGGAAATTGGTTTGCCCGACTGCGCTCGTTTGGGTTGTTTTTGTTTCTCCTTTTTTTTTTAACCTCTCGTGTTTATTTTTATTTACCAACGCAATGGCCGTTTGTGCCGAAATTCGGGGTTGCGTCTGGGGAAATGCGCGTGTTCTGTTTGCTGTTCGATCCAAGCCACGGACGACGTTGTTTAACCCGTTGATTGGTGCGACAAACGCGAGACGGCTACCGGCGTTTCTGACGAACGTGTCGGCCAGCGTAACCGCGGTAGCCGGTCGTTTGCGTGGAGGGGACGAATTAATGGCGGCCGCGGCTACCGGTGTTGGCTTGGGGCTACCGGGCTCCGCCTATAATATATCATTATAATATAACCCTTTCTGAACGATCGCACATGAACGCGTTTCCCGTGGCATTTCACTTATAGCCGTCGTCCCGGTTCGGCAAACCTGCAGCTGCGTTGAAGATTTTTTTTTAGATTTTTTTTTCCCCCATATAACTACCGTCTACGTCTTGTATTTTTCATATCGAACTCGGTCAACAGCACCGCCCTGAGTACCTGGTAATTGATTTTTTTATACTTGCATTTTTTTTTTTTTTACGAGACGGCGAAGACAATATTATCGTACGACAATGCCATAGATATGACGACAGCCGGTATATTGTACTATAGTAGTATTATTATTAGTGTATTATTATTGTTATTTTTTTGTTCGATTTACCCGACCTTTTTTTTGTCAATAACCACCGACATTTCTCCGTGGGTGTCGTCCCCGTAATGATTAATAGACTCGCGTTGTAACAATATTTGGTAGTCGTTAAAGTTCCCATCGTTTGTGTGCGCCTTGAATTTCACCGAGACCGCAACAAGTCGGTCACCGCTGCAGAGCTCTCGGTGCCGCGTTTCAGGTAGGCGGCTGCGACGACGACTCGGTTGTTGGCGGCGGCGGCGGCCTTATACCGCGCAAACGCCTACCTAAAATCCTTGAACCAACCTTAAATTCTCAGCGTGAAAAAAAAAACGTCGAAATGTCGAGTTTCTCATTTAATTGTCTTTTTTTTTGTTTTGTTTGTTCAATGTAGACCGTCGGGTTCAAAAGAAACTCCTCTGCTCGACGACACACCATCAAAGTGCCAAGACTATATTATTGTATAATAATATACACGACTTATACGACGAACGCCCGTCGGCTTGCCAAATCGTTCCCGACGTTAAAAGCTAGTTACACGCGGCCCAACCATGTACGCGGTAATACAGCTCGACTCGGAGAACCACAGACTCCGTCCCAAGAGGATCAAAATGGAGTTTGTGTGCAAGTACTGCAATCGCACGTTCAACAAACACTACTCGCTTATCATACACGAACGCAACCATCTGCCCGCCGTCAATTACCGGTGCGAGATGTGTTACAAATCGTTCAAGCGGCAAGACAGCTTACAACAGCACAGGTTAGTGTCGTTATAACTTATGTTGTTTATTTAATAATAATTTATACATGTGTACTGGCGTCACACATTGTGGTCGTCTCGTACTCAGATTTAAATAAAATATACGTGCAAATTCTTACGGTCATAGCGGGTAACACGTGCGGATTTCTTAATATTAGTCTTCCAATATAATCTATAGTTAATTTACGGGTTTTCCTTTCAAGAGGGTCGAATAAATCTTATTCGATGTGTGTGCACTAAATAGCACTTTTAACATCCACCGGGAACTAGGGTACTTACTAATATGATATAAATTATCGAGGTCCCTAGACCCTAGTGCGTTCAATTTATTCGGTATTGCATGATAACGTTACCTAACAACCAATCTTTTTGTTCCTGTATTTTCCACCCAAAAGTCTCAACTAAATGCGTGTGTTACCCGTAACGCGAGACTTTGCCAGAAATTTAGGTTCTTACAACATTAGTAGTTATTAGGTATATTACACATATAAAATAGGTTTATTATTATTAAAATATTCTTTAAATGATGCGATATTTAGAGTCATACATTTTAAACGTATACGGAAAAGAGACTTTATTTATTTTATTAACATTTGCATGATGACAACAAAACAGAGGTACCAAGAGAGCGATAACTGAACTGGTTTCCTCTTATGGTATACTGTTGTAAATAACACTAACCGCAATCAAAGGGAACAATATTGAATTCGATAATCGATTACGTTCGTTTTGACTACTTACACATACACGTGCATATATCACGAAATACTTTAATGTTTATCGTTTAATGCATAGCCTAGTAAGGTGGTTGATTCACTATATTTATTATTTACACCTGTAAAAACTTACTCAGACATGATATATAATATAATTATTTAACTCATTACGTTCACTATGTGTCCATTCTCTTTAATCTCTCTTACTCTCTCTCTCTCTTACTCTTACTCTCTTTCTCTCTCACTCTCTCACTCTCCATAAACATTTACTGGTTTACATTTATTTAATCATAACACAAACAACTACTATAAGACGATCATTCTTGTCTGTTATTAACATTGGGTTTTGGATTTTTCGCTATTTTTTATTTTTTTTTTATAGATGTGGCCATTCAAGGTGAACTGCGGATTCTTCAAGACAACCCCTCTAAAAACCTACCTATTTAAAAACAAAAAAATATACCTACTATAATAATAATTATAGGCCACATTTCTAACTGTATATGTAAGAAACACTTTTTTTACTCTTCTCTGTTTTATTTGTTTCAAATGTAAAAATGTTTTAATAATTTACACTTATTTATGTTATTAATATTGATCTTATAATTGTGTTATTAATAATAATAATACGGCATGGTCGCTTGTTTTACTAATACCGGTTTGAGGACAAAGAAAAAAAAGACTTAAATCTATTTCTTATACTTATGAATGATCTCTTTCGCAAACCTCCCGGAATTTATTATCTATGTGAATTAGTCACAAATTATATTTTTATTTCTTCAATGTTTTATATTTAATTCAAAATTTTTTTCGGACTTTTTGTTTATGTTTTTTTTTTTTATTTTCTAATTTAGATCGACCCATAGTCCAAATTACAGAGCTGGGTATGCATTGCAGCTTTGAAAAAATTGTGATATGCTAAATTATTAGCAAACTGTTGTAACGAAATTGTATTTGTAAATAGAGACTAACTAGGTACTTAATAAGTAAGTTGTATAACTAATAAGATTAGATTTTTGAGCAGACTGGTCAGTTTTTACGTTTTTTAATGAACTTAATAAAAATTCGAAAAACAAAAAAACTATTTAAACAAATTAAATGTTATTCCATTAATAATTTATTAACTTTATTATGACATATGTTATATTATATTAAGTAATAATTTAAAATATGTCTTACAAAACGTATTATATTTTAATATAACTCCTGTAAGACACTATAAATTAAATGTTATAAAAATGTAATGTTAATGGGGTTCATTAAAAAGTTGAAAAAATCCCCATGAGATTTTCTGGAATGTTCCTTAAAAATTTCTTATTTGAAATTCGCAATTTTGGCAAATTACAATTTAAGAAATATGTTTTTATGTGTTAACTCTAAGAATAGTGCTCCTAGCCTGCATATAAACATATTATTACCATTTAAAGCAAGAACACATTGTTTTTAAGCATTTAATTATATTAAATAATAGTTAATATAATATTGCATTTTGTAAATATGTAACCAGTTATTGTTAGCCATTACTAGATATATTTACTAGATATATTACTAGATATATAAGTTTAAATTCATTTGTATCATATGTGTTGATAAAAAAATATATAATTTATTTGTACATTTGAACAAGAACGTGGTACTTTATTGCATTTTTCTTAAATTTAACATAATATGTATTCACTGAACTCATTGTTTGACAATTGCAACTAGAAATTCCGTTATACAGCGACGACTATGGAAAATATTTGTACAGAACGTGTTAAGTAAGTAAGCATTTTAGTTTTAGTCATTTTTGGTTATATAAATAAATAATGTAAGGTGTATATTTGGCTGGCAACTAAACATATCTACCTATACAAATATTAGGTACTATAGATTATAGGAATTCGTTAGTATTTTTAGATTATACTATGAATGTAATGAATGGTTATACATATAATTTAAAAACAAAGTGCTAATTTGGTTAAATCAACATCTTAAAAAAATACACGTGTTAGTCTAAAAAAAAAAAATAAAAATCTTACAATCAACATTACATAATGAATAAGCGCTCTTGAAAAAAATTATCAGTTTATATACATACATATTTTATAAATAGTTACTCAACATTTCAAATACTATAATGATAGCTGGCAATGTGATAAGACGTAAATTGAACAAAATATTGATTCCAGAAAAACAGTTAGGGTCATTACGTTCAATTATTAGAGTCACTACGTTCGAGAGCTTCTATGGGCAATATAGGTTACTCGTGTAGTAATAATAATTATGCTATAGTGCAAATTTACCAATTAATGTAACTACTAAAAATATCTTGGTGTATTTAGTTCAGAAGATACCAAGTTACCAAAATGATTGATCGTTTTTAAATTTTATTTTCTAATTTGTATGTGGTATCGAAAATGGGTTTTATTTTAACTATTTTGGGCAGAAGCTAAACGGTCTAAATGTCTACATGTTTTTAGTCAACAGCAAAAATATCTAATTTTTATAGTCTACCTTCAATTGGTCTATATAAAATCATCTACTACTATTAAAATATAATAGTCAAATTTTTATTAATATAGTATAAGGTTTTTTAGAAGGAAAGGTGGTGTGTGAATTGTAATATTGCAACTTTTGCGCTCACTAATCAATCGCACAACATCTCTTTTTGACTTTCATCCTCTTACAATTAGTGAGGAAAGTTAATAGTGGAAAGAGTTGACCTGAAATGAGATATCATTAGAAGGAAAATAGTTTATTTAAAACTATAACCAGCAATTATGTATGGAAGTGAGTATTGGTCATCAAGTACGTGTATAATTAAATAAAAAACCTTGAAAATATGTTTAAATTCTTTAAAAATATTTTTATAGTATACAGTAAATAAATATAAATTAAGCAATTATCAATTAAAATAATTTCCAATATTAAATAAGTATGTCATAAACATTTACGTTTAAGAAGTTCATAATTAATTATGTTATTAAAACGGATATTTTAGATTGATGGGGCCGGTGACATTAAAGTTGTTTAAAAATAAACTGAAATTAATAAATTGTTGTTAGCAGTACATCTTTTGTGTAGCTAGGGCAACTTTAAAAAATATTATAAAAAATTAAATTATGTGTTTATTATGTGTTTTTATTTTAAAGGTCTTTATTTCCTGTGTTAAGAACACAGGTAGAGAAGCGTTTTTATTTTTTTGGAGTACGTGTAATTAACATAAACGTGAATCCGTATATTTACTTATATGCCTACATAAATATAAATAAAATTAATTTGTGAACTCCCCAACTACCTACTGGCTACTACATAGAACAAAATATATAATTTAAAACAAAGACATACAAAACATATAATACACAGGATCACGGATATCTGAACTTTAAATACACGTGTACTTGAAATACATAGACATTAAATGGTTCAGGTTAGGATTCTGGATTTGTTCATTCCGGGTAAACGAGATTTTTAAAAAACACATTCGTGAGCCCTAGTTTATATTGATACCATTTAGTAATTTAGTTTATTTGAGTAATATTATGAGACACAATTTTACTATAAATATTTTACAATATTTAATAACATAATTTCTTTTTATTGTGAATTTGTTGTTAAATTCACAATAAAACGATACTTTTCTTGCTAAAGAATAAAAACAAACGAAGGGTCACATTTAGAGGGACTTTGTACTCACAATGATATTTTAGTGTAAAATTTGAGTACGCAAATGACGTTTTACTTAATCTGTTATGATTATTGATTTAAGAGTAAAATAGCCTACTAAGTTTCTTTTCTAATTTCTAAGACAACAAATTATTTCTGTTAAAAAAAAACCAAGAAATTGACTTTTTTCAACATCAAATATCTGTAACCGAATACCTAACTGAATATCTTTAAAATAAAAATAATAGCCTAAAAACATTATAGGCCTAGTAAAGATCATTTTTTTAATTTAAATGTGTAGGAAAAACTATATAATAAAAAACGTTCTCTGTGATATTAAAATAAAAAACCCGAATTATCTTCTCGCAGTATTATACATGGTAGTATGTAGTAACTAGTAGGTATATGAGTAATGAGTAATATCTACATACATAGTAGTATTATATTATATTATTGATTCTTCTCGGTATAATACAGATAATTAAGAGGACGTCGTACAGCCAAATTTCCTACGTTAAAACATAGCTACTCAGTATGCAGAATGCGTTTTATTTGCTCCATAATGGTTTTAGAGCAAAAATACGTTTAACAAAAAAAGAATGATAAACCTAGTATTTAACATTTAAAATCTAATTTCTTTACTTTTTAAAATATAACTTTTTATTTACTTTGTTATTTTCAAAATGTGTGTTTTTGCTCGAAAGTAAGTAATAACCATGTATTTAGTAAAACGTATTCTGCGTAACTTGGTTTAGATGAAAAAAATATTTAAAATCGCTGACAAAGATGCTATGATAGGGTGTCCGAAGAATAAAATAACTACCAAAAAGGAGTTCTAATTACTAAACTAATAATTACACGTTACAATTAAAGCTTTAAATTAAGATTTTGAAAAAAATTGCCTATACCAAACTCCTTAATAAATAGGCGGTATCACGTCATCGTTTTAACTTTAAACTAGGGCTAACGATTTAAAACGTGTATTTAGGATACTCGTGTATCCGGACTTTTTATTCACGAACTTACAATTGTTAATACCCGTGTATTTTATAACTAGGTACCCGCTATTCTATTGACACGGGTATTTTGTGTTCTGGTATCCGTGTATTAAAACTATACGTGCAATTAAAGATCAGGAACTTTGGTATTATATTAATACACTTGTTGTCAATATTGTATCGTACTTAAGTTGGCCTTAACCTGGCTTGGAAAAATAATTTATTTTTTCACTCTAAAAAGTTTCGGCCTCCCTATTAACTTTTAATTTAGTTCAGATTCATAACTATAACTTGTATGATTTTAAAATAAATTATACTCCGTTATTGAATATAATCTTATGATTTATAAGAATATAAATAAAGCGTAATTCAATTAACACGACTAAAATGGAAAAAAACGAGAAATGTATATTTTATTTTATACATGTATAATTTTTTTTAACCCCATTTTATTTATCGATGGATATTTTATTAATAGGTAAAAATACTTACGAATTATTATTCAAAGTGTCGACTAAGCAAACTTCAACAAAAAACCTAAACTAAACCAAACCTAAATCTAACCAATTAGTTCTCACCATTCACTCATCCAAAAACTTAAGCCATTATTTTTATCTACATGTTCGCATATTAAATTACTGTAAATAGTTTATTGATTAATTACACTGGAATACGGGTGCACGGGTTGAAACAAACGTGTACCTATGTATTTGAATTTAACACCGTTTCAGTAATTACCCGTGTACCCGTGTTCTTAAATACACGTGTAATAGAGAGCCCTACTTTAAACTAATATTCTGCGAAAAATTGCCTATACCGAACCCCTAACTAAAAGACCAAATTTCGTCTTATGCGAATAACGATGCTATTGTATAGCATATATTTTCTTAATGTAGGTACTTAAAAAGGGCAGGACATGAAGTTGATAATTTTCAAGATAGTAGCAAGATAGTTGAACAAGAAAATTATTTTTATTAACGTCATACATAGTTGTTCCTGTACCTGTGTTAACACCGTTTTACTCCTTTCAATTTATGATAACTCATTAGTTTACAAAGACGTTGTTTTAATTTTAATGTTCCAGTAAAATACCAAATTCTAGTAGTTAATTATAATAATAAAAAATATAAACTTAAACAACGGTTTTCTCGACAATAAAACTGAAAAATTTATAAAAGTTAATATCACAAAGTTCAATAAATAGGTACGAGTCGTACCGTACGACACAGTGATAACTAGAAAGTCACGAACAAATTTCCTGTCAATCACCTGTCTTAAACAACGAACAATAATTTCAAGTGTTTATAATATTATTATTTACATCTTTCGGACTTAAGCAGTAGCCGACACGCGGTTATAGTTTGGTTTCATAATCACCACCCGGCTACGATCGGTTGAAAAACTAATAACGGATAGAATTTTAAATACCATCAAAGTATTTTCATAAATATTATTAACATTTAGAAGCAAAAAAAAATGTTCACTGTTTTTTTCTTAAATTTCATGATAACTGTGGTCTGTGGTAACCGAACGTGGATATACCTTGGGGGCCCGAGTAGCCCCGGCCTAAATACGACATTGCACATAATGTATTGTATTATTTACGTGACAACTGAGCACTATTTATATCCGTGAGAATATCCGTCTGACTAGGTTACCATGTTTAACTGAAAAGTAAGCAGTCCAGACAATATTTGAACAATATTTTATCACTTAATGCTGCTTTTACAAGGTTGACTGAAAGTGTTTAATATTTGATTTGCTCTCTGTGTTTGAATAGAATGTAATATTAGCCTATATGTACATATACCTATGTTTGTAGTTAAACGTAAAATAAATTGAATAAATGCCCCATGAACGATACAAATA